AGAATATTAAGCCAATCACAGAAGTAGGCGTGTACGTCAGAGTCTACAACTGGCCACGCCCATTCAAACAGAGCGTTCTCATGAAGGTCAAAAACTGAATGACTTGTTTATCTTTATTATATATTGTGTTTTATGTAATTATGATTGTTTTAATAATGGGGGTTTAATTTTCTTGATAACATTATAAGCTGAGAAGCAGAGAACTGTCCAAAATAAAATACAACACTGAGAAACTGCCCCGAGTGCTGGATAATAAGCAATCATATATCAAACAACAGACTGCACAGTCTTAAATATTAATAAACATGTAAGAAATGAACTCAAGCATGACTTCAGCAGCGTTTACCATTAGTACTGTGATTATTTACAGGCAAATGAAGCTGCAAACAAATCAGATAGTCCAATCTCAGCACTGTCAGCAATGCTGGGTTGTTTTGTAACCCAGTGTATTCACCTGTGCACTCGCTGAAGATCTGGATTTCCTGCGGTACAAGAGTAAATCCCAGACAGTGTGCCAGAGATACAAGGCCATAAAACACACGCTGCCAACAATCCAAATGTATCTGCCCTTCAAGAAGCAGTCCATGGTGTGTGTGCGCCTGCGGTGTCTGCCTAATCTGCTGGGTTTATTTAGCTGCGACAAAGTCTGTGGATGAAAGTGTGTGAGGTCTGCTTTAACACGACGCTGCGCTTGATTTGACGTGCTCCTGCATTCCCAGAGCCCCCGCTTTCTGTCATCCCGGAGGACAAACACATGTGTGTGTGTGTGGTGACAGGTGCAGGAACACAGCTATCTGAACACGGCCTGCTGGATTTATTCATCATCATCTAAATGCAATGAGCTCAGGTTCAACAAAGCCGCCAGTTTCTCTCCGCTTCAGATGCCTTTAAGCTATTAAAAAAGTGTCAATCATATATTATTTCAGGTCCTTCAATAGAAATATATATTTATCCTGCAATAAGAGAGCTCTCGACATTATTCTGTGGATGCCAGATATAAACAGTGTGCTTGTTTGTAGATACAGATAGACATCCTTCAGGTTGACCTGCTGAGCTGATTCTTTCATGTGAGAGCAGTGAGTCACTGCCTGGAGACTCGCTCTGAACAGATCATTTGAATCAGTGAGTTGTTTAGTGAAGACTCGCTCTGAGCAGATCATTTGAATCAGTGAGTTGTTTAGTAAAGACTCACTCTGAATGAATCAGTGAGTTGTTTAGTGGAGACTCACTCTGAACAGATCATTTGAATCAGTGAGTTGTTTAGTAAAGACTCACTCTGAACAGATCATTTGAATCAGTGAGTTGTTTAGTAAAGACTCACTCTGAATGGATCATTTGAATCAGTGAGTTGTTTAGTAAAGAATCACTCTGAATGGAATCAGTGAGTTGTTTAGTGGAGACTCGCTCTGAACAGATCATTTGAATCAGTGAGTTGTTTAGTGAAGACTCACTCTGAAAGAATCTTTTGAATCAGTCTGTCGCTGCCTAAAGATTTGCTTTGAACACATCATTTGAATCGTTAAGTTGTTTAATAAAGACTCACTCTGAATGGATTATTTGAATCAGTGAGTCGCTGTCTAAAGATTCACTCTGATCAGATCATATGAATCAGTGAGTTGCTGTCTGACGATTCACTCTGATCAGATCATGTGAATTAGTGAGTCGCTGCCGAAAGATTCACTCTTATCGAATCATATGAATCAGTGAGTCACTGCCTAAAGACTCACTCAGAACAGATCATTCGAATCAGTGAGTTTGGTGATGTTTTTGCCGTGTGATGAAACAATTATGAAGTATTCTGATTTATATAATGTAATCTATAATATGAACTGAATAATAGCAATAGACTATGTGGACAATCATGAAGTATTTGAATAAATAAAACAAAATAATTGAGTTAGCCTATTTCATATAATCTTTTTTTAAATAGGCAGTTTCGATTGTTTTTTATTTGGTCGCATGTACTGTAGTAATGTGCATAACATGAGTCTTCATTCATTCACACAGCACAACCCGTCCACCAGAGGGCAGCAGCGCTCTGTGTTTGACCCTTCCATTACTGTAGAATCCAGATATGGAAAGCCCTCACCTCATATAATTATATAAACACCCAAGCAGGACAGTTCACCTGCTGCTTTTGATCCAAACTAAATTCACTCACTTTCAAGTGGTATTATACTGAATATATTATAGTACCTACAACTCTTTGTTAATAAACACTCCAGCATACATAAGATGATCAACGGTAGCAGAATACTTTAGTAAACAGTGGTGTATTGTAGTATAATACAGCCTACAGTTGTAGAAAACTACTATATTTTCTCATTTGTTTACAATACTATAGTTGCTGTGTTACCATAGCAACTGTAGAATCAACCAACTCTAAATTGTTAAAATTAAGTTGTATCAACTTAACAGTTCCAATGGGTTGACTCCTTTTTTAAGTAGGTTTGCTCATGCATTCATTTTCCTTCGGCTTAGTCCTTTATTTATCAGGGTGGAATGAACCGCCAACTATTCCAGCATATGATTTACACAGCGGATGCCCTTTCAGCTGCAACCCAGTACTGGGAAACACCCATACACACTTGATCAGTTCCCCTATAGCGCATGTGTTTGGACTTTGGGCGAATCCGGAGCACCCTGAGGAAACCCACGCCAACACAGGGAGAACATGCAAACTCCTCACAGAAACACACTGACCCAGCCGGGGCTTGAACCAGCAATCTTACTGCTATGAGGTCAAAGTGCTAACCACTGAGCCACCATGCTGCCTACAGTGGAATTCATAAAGATGCAGATGTGAGGTGTCCCGTACCTGATCACCCTCCAGCTGACTGTGCTTGAGCTCCCAGAAGCAGCGCATGGTCTCCACTCTCTCCAGATAGTGGAAGAAGGCCAGTTTGCCCAGTCTGATGCTGTCCGGACACTGGTGCACATCTCTCAGTCTGGCTCGTCTAAGCTGAACACACTCCTCTGCGGTGTGTGAGTGTGTCTGTGTGTGCGTGTTTCTCAGCAGGGTCACCTCAATCACCGGCCGCTCGAGGCTCGGCTTCTTCTCAGAGCTGGAAAAAGGACAACAAAGAGAAATTCATGAGACATTTAGAATTGGTTCACACTTTATTATTGTCATATAATATATACAAATGCTGTTTCTCGATGCTTTGAAATGTTCAAAAACTTGTTTTTTGTGTGTTTCAAGACCGTTAAAATGCAAATATTTTTATTAAATTTTCCTTTAACAAAGACATTCTTTGTGTTTACTTCATTTTGGCATCTTCATATGTAAGAAATACTTTTTTATTAAGTTTATTAACTGGTAGTTACAGTTGAAGTCAGTATTATTCGCCCCTCTTTGATTTTTTTTCTTTTTTTAAATATTTACCAAATGTTGAACAGATTGAGGAAATGTTCACAGTGTGTCTGATAATATTTGTTCTTCTGGAGAAAGTCTGATTTGTTTTATTTCGGCTAGAATAAAAGCAGTTTTTAATTTTTTACAACCCATTTTAAGCTCAATATTATTAACCTCTTTAAGATGCATTTATTTAGATAGTCTCCAGAACAAATCATCATTATACAATAAGTTGCCTAATTACCCTAACTTTACCCTAATTACCCTAGTGAAGCCTTTACATGTCACTTTAAGCTGTATAGAAGTGTCTTGAAGAATATCTAGTCTAATATTATTTACTGTCATCATGACAAAGAGAAAATAAATCAGATATTAGAGATGAGTTATTAACACTGTTATGTGCAGAAATGTGTTGAAGAAATCTGCTCTCTGTTACACAGAAATTGGGGGGGCTAATGATTCTGACTTTGACTGTATGTCAGAACATTTGCAAAAAAAAAGCAATACAAATAAAAACAAACTTTTTTTTCCATTTCTCCTACAGGAAGAAACTTTACTATAGTAAACGCTGTAGAGATCATACCATAGTAAAGTACTTTGAAAAATCTGTTGTGGCATATAGTTGCTATGGTGACACCAATAATAATAATGTATATTATTTATAATAAAAAAATGTCACATTATTATAAACATTAAAATAAAAATAACACACCAATAATAATAATGATCATAATCATTTGTAATTATTCATTTGTGAAAATAATAATAATTTGGTCAACAAATGAGCCAACAAAGAGCTGTAGATACTATGATATATACAGTATAATATACGCTTTACTATAGTATGATTCAAACCACTAGTTTTTACTATAAATGATACCTCATTTCTTTCATGTGGTCTTTTGGGACTGATTTTGGTGAATTTTAGATGTGAAAACGTGAATTTTGTGCAAGTAAAATGAATTTATTTTAGTTAAAAACTTTTCAACTAGACAACATTTATTAATATGTATGTTTCATAAATTGATGCTTATATTTGTGTTAAGTGTGTGTGTGTGTGTGTGTGTGTGTGTGTGTGTGTATATATATATATATATATATATATATATATATATATATATATATATATATATATATATATATATATATATATATCTTATTTATTTTCAAAATATACAAATAATTTCTCAATTTGTTTTAACCCAAAAATGGTTTAATGTTCGTAATGGTTTAAAACATGTAATGTAATGTAATGGTTTAAAACATGGAAACATACAAAACTTAAGCTCAATATTGAGGAGATACATTACATAAATCATTTACAGATATTAGAACAGAGCTGGAAGATGCACGTCAAAATGATTCAAAAGAGTCGTTCCATCCGGGAATCGAACTACACCACTGTTTGCTCCCTTAACAAGTGATTCATTTAAAGGAATCGATCCTTCTGTCGACCTGTAGTTTCACTGAAGAATAATAAACAGTCCAGCAAGTTTGTGTATTATTTTATTCGCTGATGGTGAATGTTTGGTCTGCTTCAGGTTCATAGTTCGTGTGAAGCAAAACTTTTTCCACTCATAATAATAATGATATCGCGAGACGAGACTTCCGTTCTCCCGCGTCAGTTTCTATTTCTCGTGTCCCCGTTTGTTGATAACTGTAAATAAACTGCAAATAATCTAATTTACACACCACCATCAGCAGGAATAAACACGTTAAATCAGCGTGACCATGGCGGAGAGTGTGTCTGACAGCAGCGTGCAGTGCCCGGTTTGCGCTGGTCTCTTTGAGCCGAGCAGCATCAACCGTCACCTGGACGCGTGTTTACAGAGTCCCTCTGATCCCGGTCCACCGGCCAAAAAACCCCGCATTAACTCATCCGACAGCCGTCCTTCTGCGGTCTTTTCCATGTTCCAGAGCCGGCCGAGAGCATCAGAAGCCCTGGCCGAAGACAGTGGAGAGAGCGCGGCGGGCTCCGCAGCTCCAGCGGCGGCGGTGCAGCAGCCTCAGTGTCCGGCTGAAGTGGCTCCACCGGCGGCCTGTTCTCCCAGAGCGCTGCGCCTGAAGAACCAAAAGCCGCTGGCGGAGCTCCTGAGACCGAGCACCCTGGAGGAATATTTCGGCCAGAATAAACTGATCGGAGAACAAACTCTGCTGAGATCCCTGCTGAAGTCGCAGGAGATCCCGTCTCTGATCCTCTGGGGTCCGCCGGGCTGCGGAAAGGTCTGTGGTTTGTAGTCTATTCACTTATTTATAAAAGCCTTCTGCTTAAATATTGGTGTAAAGTTGGTTTTATATTCACACATTCGGATTTTATCCTTAATAATAAAAGTCAGAAAAATAATCGAATGCTAATGACCATCAACGTGCAGATAAATAGTGCTAATGTTGTTTTGAAGTCATTCTTACATGTGATTTCAGACCAAATATATTCAAAGTACCATGGTAAACAGTATAGGGAGCAGACACAAGATGTCACTGGACGAATGTGTAAATATAAAAACAACTTCAGATTAAGGAGATACTCGGAAACTTGTCTTAAAGTAAACATACTGTGCAAATATTTTTGATTTAAATATTAATAATTCAAGTATTTAGTAGTATATCTCTATTATAGTGCAGTATTAAAAATGCAGTAATTGCAAAGCCACAGTGTTTCTCATACATTATTACCCTTATTATATTCTAAAGAGGTTTGTTAGGGGTTCTTACATTTTTTTCTTGGAAGTCTATTCTTGGTTGAATTTTGGAGACCACCACCATGATCATCCTCAGTTCAGTAGTGGCCTGTATTTGTTTTTAATGTATTTAATTGTCATAAAGGGGTCAGAAAGTTTAACCTTGTGCTATTAAATCAATCTACTGCAGCTGACCCTGCTGCTATGTTGTTAATCTAATGTAAACACACAATGGTGAAAGTAAATGTTAAAGTTTTTTGTATGTTGTTGCTTTTTAATGTAACAATTAACTACTATTTTTTTTATCTTCTGAGGGTTATGGATTAAATATAGCAAATCTAATAGTTTAATAAAATTTATTTGACTTTTGGAAATCACCAAGCAACTCCCTGTCATTGTCGCACAACTCCCTGACCCGCATTTTAAGAACCACTAAGTTTAGCCATCTTAATTAAAACAGTTGAGCCTGATGATTCAGGAGCATTTCTGGTTTCATTTGTTTATTTTGGTATTTAAATCTCCTTTACAAGAGTTCACTTGTCAAATTTGATCAATTTTTATCAATAATTTTGCCATGAACTAAGTCTGCTGTAGTGTATGAATGTTAAAGTGTGTGGGTGTTTCCCAGTACTGGGTTGCAGCTAGAACGGCATCCGCTGCATAAAACATTTGCTGACTACGCCAGAAAATGAATGAAACAACATAATTCTTGAGTTTTTTGAGGACAGCTTAATTGTTTTATGTTCAATTCACTTAAATTTGTAAAAACTAATACGTTAACTTAAATCCTTCATGTTGACCCAACACAAATCCATTGTGCGGATCCCAGCATTCTTCACAGGGAGTATTGAAACCTGCTAGATTTGACATCACGCTGCTTTGTTTACTGCAGAACCCAAGGCCACACATAGTTCTGCAGTAATGTATGCTCCAACCTAGCTAGATTTAATAGATTAGTATTCAGTATATGAATAATGTTTTGGTTTTGGATTAGTTTCTTACATCAATATTTAGTAAATATACTATAAGTTAAAATCTCGCCAGTGTTTCTGGTCGAAACCTGAAGTGGTTATAAGGTCTTAAAATGAATGGAAAGAGTCTTTAAAGGTATTGAATTCACTCTCTGATGCCTGTATATCCTCTGAATCTGCTCATCATGTTTGGGTTGTGTGTTTGTTGTTTACAGACCACTTTGGCTCATATTATCGCCAGTTCTATCAAGCAGAAAGGCACGGGCCGTTTCGTGACGCTGTCGGCCACCAGCGCTTCCGTCAGTGATGTGCGAGAGGTGATAAAACAGGCCCAAAATGAGCTCCGTCTGTGCAAGAGGAAGACCGTCCTGTTCATCGATGAGATTCACCGCTTTAATAAATCACAGCAGGTCAGTCCGCGCTCATATTTGGTTATACTTGTGCTTTAAGACATTCATTTTCCTGCAGCTTAGTCCCTTTATTAATCAGGGGTTGCCACAGTGGAATGAACCGCCAACTATTCCAGCATATGTTTTAAGCAATGGATGCCCTTCCAGCTGCAACCCAGTACTGGGAAACACCCATACACACACACTCATACACTACGGCCAATTCAGTAAGTCAATTCCCCTATAGCGCATGTGTTTGTACTGTGGGGGAAGCCGGAGCACCCGGAGGAAACCAACGCCAACAAACTCCGCTTTAAGACGTTTAAAGTCAAATATATCTACATACAGGGGTCTGTACATGACAATCTCTTTGAAAGTGTAATTATTTGTGTATGCAGGCCGCCGGTACACTTTATCCCCGACAGCAGCGCCTGTGAAACTGAAGTACACCCAATAATATACAACTGTAAACCCAGGAGACAATAGAGCAGCGCAGGGGAGACCCGCACTAAAGTCTAAAATAAGAGTCTCGTATACATGCTGGAATTTATTGTGTCTTTTTATTGTGTGCTGCAATAACAGCTCTGACTCTAACGGTGGAAACTTCTGCAGATAATATGTGGTGTGAAGATCAGCTCAACTGGAGGAGGATTCTGTGCTCCATCTGCATCACTCAATCACCACAGACTAATGCAGAGTTCAGGATTTTAGCCTTAACTTTCGCTCACCGACAGGTTTTGTACAATCGAAGAACTTTTGTCGACAAATTCACAACCTATAGTTGTACGTAAAGTTTGTCTGAAATTAACAAAATCGCACTAGATTTGACATTGCACTGCTTTGCTTACTGCTGTAACCAAGGGAACGCTGTTATTCCTGGGTAACGTCTAGATGGGATATGCGGCCGGCTAGAAGTGCGATATGCTCATTAATATAGCAGCATTTTTAATGACAAAGTTTAAATATAATTTATATTTTTACAGTACTGTGACGGTTGGGGTAGGTGTTAAAAAATACAATTTATTGGGTAATTAAATAGATAACATAGATAATACTCTGTACTACTACTGTGTTTACATTACTGTGACGGTTGGGGTGGGGGTAGACATTAATAAAATACAATACATGGGAAATTTAATAAATAAAAGAAATAATTCTTGTTAACATCCGGCTGCAAACGTATCCGATCTAGCAACAACCTTATTCCTGCTGTTCTATAGGTGCCCCCTGCTGGAGGCCAGTGAGTTAGCATTTTTAGCCAATGCTAGGCCTTTCACCATTTCTATTTTTTTTGTTGTACGATATATCGCACCAAAATATATTGCAATATACAATATTATTGTCATTTCAAGACCATTTTATGCCACTCATTATATAATGCCAGAATGACAATTAGGCATGGGCTGGTATAAGATTCTGCCGGTATGATAATCTTGGATAAAAATATCAAGGTATTGAAATTACTGCTCTAAAATATATTCTTTTTAAATTTCTGGGAAAAAAAAAACTCTTTGAAAACAAAATATTTTATTTTTTGAAATATTTAAATTATTTTGGAGCAGTGAACATGTCAGGCAAAATAATGAAAATGAATCATCGACTTCTGCCGTCTTCATTTCTTTCAAAAACACTGATATCTATACAATTTAAAACTGCATCTTTGGAGATCTTATGGGTTATTGTTGACGATCTGTATAATGAGATTATTATTAGCTGGATTATTGATTATCTGCAGATTTATATTTGCTTTAATAAACACAAGTGTAGATGTGTCCAGCTGTGGGGTTTTGGAGACGTCTGCATCAGCATATGTGGATAAGAACAGGACGTGTGTTTGGATATCACTCAGTTTTCTGACCACACTTCATTATTATTGATCATTTATTCCTCTGCTGGAGATTAGAACTGAATTTAGAAATAGTTTAGACACAAATCTTTGTGCTTTAAAAAAGAAATTGAATATGTGGGCTAATGGATGTCTGTGCGTACAACACTGTTTCCTTATCCACAAAAGAAAGTGAAAGTAAAGAGACTGAATGGAGGAGGCTTGTTCTTTATTCTCACGCTGCAGAAGCCACTGGTTTTCTCACTAGTGATCAGTTGTTACACTTACAAAGTCCACCATGTAAAGAGCAAATGCGCCACAGTGTGGTGCAACTGACTCTTAAAGGGAATGTGAGATGAGTCTTTGATTGTTTTATTCTCAAAACACACCCGTATCTCATTAAGAGGACAAGCACAACCCTGTTAGACCATGCACCGGGGCGCAGAGCGTATTTATCCGTTTTTAAAATAGCAAAAGTGGATTCAGACATGCTCTTGATGCTTTTGCGCCCTGTGCTTTAGACTTTGTGCCTAGATCATTAAAATCGAGCACAACATGTGAAAAAATGAGCTTTCAGTAGTATTTAGTTTGGCTGCAGTACCAGACACGACAGTTCAGTTGCCATAGATGACTATACAAGTGCACCCCGTGTGTTTAGAGGAATATTAACTGTATTTTTTCATACTTTTGACACTATTTACAAAGTAAAATTACAATTCTAAAATAGTGTGTGCAGTTTGTTGATATTTGATTTTAATTTAGCCTCCTAAAAGCATCAAATATGGATTGCTGTAGCAAAGTAATGCTTTACAACTCTGATGAATATCCTTGTTGCAAATGAATTAATAACTTTTGCTTGGGTATATCTATCAAAAATCAGCCACCATCCTTAGAAACTAGAAATGTGAGGCATTCAAATGATATATAGCTTGTCATGATGGCTTTGCGTTTAGACCACAATATTATGGTTTAGATGTGTAATCGTAAATGCTGCCACAGGTTGTAAGGAGACAGTAAACTTGTTTAATCGATTACTTTTCATACAGAGCAATACACAGTGGTATAATATCAAATCAGAAAGAAGTATTAGAGCTTTTTAATGATATTTAGTTAGAGATGATTAGATTAGGATTTAATGAAGTGATTTAAACTTAAGCATCTCTATGGAAGTTAATGGAAAACCCAATGTTCGCTCATTCTTTCTGCATCCAAAACAATATCTTTGATTTCGTTCTCTACAAAATGCTTCTTGATTTAACAATATTTGCACTAAAAACAAGACGACATCTCGTGCATCATCTCAGCCCTCACCTGTGGTACTTCTCCACTTTTGGGATGCTGGGTATCTTCTCCTGTCTCCCCATGCTTTATTCTGTGTCTTCTTCAACTCAGGACACGTTTCTGCCTCACGTGGAGTGTGGGACGATCACTCTGATCGGCGCCACCACAGAAAACCCGTCGTTCCAGGTGAACAGTGCTCTCCTGAGCCGCTGCAGGGTTCTGGTTCTGGAGCGTCTGTCGGTGGAGGCGGTGGGCTCGATTCTGCGTCGCGCTGTGGATTTTCTGGATCTGCGGATTCTGGATTCAGAGGAACGACACTCTTCAGAGATCTGCTCAGAGTAAGTGTCTGCCCTGCTCTTGTTATTATAGCGCGTCACCTGAGCCGGCTTCAAAGTCCTCATCAGTCTCGTTTTGATGACTTACTGGCACGCTTGCACTCTGGATTGGTAAGTAGGGCAAACATTTGTCTCCCGCCCCGCCTGTGAACTGCTGCGGATCAGGTTTTAGGAGTCTGGAAGCATCCGCATGTTTAATACAGACGTGTGAAGCTGGGTTTGAGTTTCAGTGAACCCAACGCTCTCTTTGTTTTATGGGAGTTTAATGTGATAATGAGTATTACACATAGCTGGGGTGGACAGGAGAGATCTGTGAGATGCATACAGTGATCGGCACAAGTCAATATAGACCAGCATTTGAACAAAACATGTTTATGGAGCCTGTTCGTAAGACTGTTATGATGGATTTAACGCTCATCTGCGTCTTAAATTCTTTAAAGTTTTTATTATTGTCGGCGCCAGTGGTGTAGTGGTTAGTGCGTCGACACATGCACTCCGGTGCTCGTGGCGACCCGGGTTTGATTCCGCCTCGCAGTCCTATGCCAATCCTTCCCCTCTCTCTGCTCCTCATGCTTTCCTGTCAATTCTTTCTACTGTCCTATCAAAAATAAAGGTAAAAACCCAAAAAAAATAATTATAAAAAAAAAAATTATTTAGATTTTTTTTTAAAGCGTATGAGCATTTGCATCTATTTATGCATGGTGCATCCGGAGACATTTGTTTTGTTACAGCCTTATTCCAAAATGGATTAAATTGATTGATTTCCTCAACATTCTACACACAAGCTTTTGAAATTGTTGTAAATTTATTTTATTATTTTTTCGTGGAATTGACAGGAAAGCATGAGGAGCAGAGAGAGGGGAAGGATTGGCATAGGACTGCGAGGCGGAATCGAACCCGGGTCGCCGCGAGCACCAGAGTGCATGTGTCGACGCACTAACCACTACACCACTAGCGCCGACTTGTTGTAAATTTGTTAAAGATGAAAAAGCTGTAAGATCAGACGTGCATCAGTATTGACAGTGTTTGGCGTGAAGCTCTAAACTGAGCTCAGCTATTCTGTCTCCACTGATCATTCTGGAGATGTTCCAGCAGCTTCATTGGAGTTCACCTGTGCTCAATTCCGCTGATTGGACATGATCAGAAAAGGCTACAATTGTCTATATAAGGGCCCAGGGTTGACACTGCATGACAAAGCACAAACCAAGCATGAAGACAAAGGAATTGTCTCGAGGCACAAGGCTGGGGAAGCTTACAGAAACATTTCTGCTGCTCTGAAAGTTCCACTGAGCACAGCGGCCTCCATCATCCGTCAGTGGAAGATGTTTAACCAGCAGGACTCTTCCTAGAGCTGGCCGGCCATCTAAGCTGAGTGATCGGGGGAGAAGGGCCTCAGTCAGGGAGGTGATCAATAACCCGATGGTCGCTCTGTCTGAGCTCCAGCGCTCTTCTGTGGAGAGAGGAGAAGCTTACAGAAGGACAACCATCTGTGCAGCAATCCACCAATCAGGCATCTGTATGGTAGAGCGGGCAGACGGAAGACCCTCCCCGCCTGGAGTTTACCATCTGAAGGACTCTCAGAGCATCAGAAACTAAACTCTCTGCTCTGATGAGACTCAAACTGAACTGTTTGGAGTGAACGCCAGGCGTTACGTTTGGAGAACAGCAGGCGGCGCTCATCAGCAGGCTAACAGCATCTCTACAGTGAAGCATGGTGGTGTTGGCATCATGCTGTGGGGATGTGTTTCAGCAGCAGGAACTGGAAGACTAGTCAGGATAGAGGGAAAGATGAATGCAGCGATGTACAGAGACATCCTGAATGAAGACCTGCACAAGAGTGCTCTCCACCTCAGACTGGGGCGACGCTTCATCTTCCAGCAGGACAATGACCCAAAGCACACCGCCAACATATCAATGCAGCGCTACAACAACAACTCGGTGAATGTGCTTGAGTGGCCCAGCCAAAGCCCAGACCTAAATCCTATTGAACATCTCTGGAGAGATCTGAAAATGGCTGCACACCGTCACTTCCCATCCGACCTGATAGAGCGTGAGAGGTCCTGCAAAGAGGAACGGGCAAAACTTCCTAAAGACAGCTGTGCAGAGCTTGTGGCATCATATTCAGGAAGACTTGAGGCTGTAATCACTGCCAAAGGAGCATCAATAGAGTATTGAGCAAAGCCTGTGAATACTGATGTACATCTGGTTTTACAGGTGTTTCATTTATAATAAATTTGCAACAATTTCAAAAACTCTTTGTTCACATCGTCATTATGGGGGATTGTGTGTAGAATGTTGAGGAAATCAGTCAGTTTAGTCCATTTTGGAATAAGGCTGTAACATAAACACATGTGGGAAAAGTGCAGCGCTATCAATACTCACTGGATGCGCTGTATACTGAATTAAACCCTGCAGTGGAAACACATTTTGGCTGTTGTGAAAGTGCCATAAGTGTAAATATATTTGTATGACGTGCGCATCATGTGAAAGGGCTTCACATCTGGTTTCTGCTTCAGATCAGGCCTAATGGGATTTTCAGAGCGCGTGATATTTCTGTCTGTTATGATAGTGAGAGTGGCAGATTATGGCTTCTGAATTCTTGGCTTGTCTTGGATGAGAAACATGTCAAACTGCACGTCTCTTTCCGAATACTCAGAGCCGTCTTTAGCGAAGTTTGGGATGTAATTGAGACCAACCGGCGAAACCAGAGCATGAACTAAAGATGTTAACTGAATAGTGCTGCACGAAATAATTAGGTTTGTAATGAAGACTTAAAGTGTGAGGTTTTTTTTTTTTTAGATATTCCCCAAATGATTTTTCTCAGATTCAGGAAATGTTCACAGTATTTCCTCTAATATCTGTTCTTCTGGAGAAACTCTTATTTGTTTTATTTCGGCTAGAATAAAAGCGGTTTCTAATTGTTTTAAAGCCAATATTATTAGCCCCCTTCAGCAATATTAGTTCTTTATTTGTCTACAGCACAAACCACTGTTATACAATGACTTGCCTAATTACCCTAACTTTACCCTAATTACACTAACTTTACCCTAATTACCCTAACCTTACCCTAATTACCCTAACTTTACCCTAATTACCCTAACTTTACCCTAATTACCCTAACCTTACCCTAATTACCCTAACTTTACCCTAATTACCCTAACTTTACCCTAATTACCCTAACCTTACCCTAATTACCCTAACTTTACCCTAATTACCCTAACCTTACCCTAATTACCCTAACTTTACCCTAATTACCCTAACTTTACCCTAATTACCCTAACTTTACCCTAATTACCCTAACTTTACCCATAGACTGTAAAATACATGGACGTAGTATCCATGATGTCACCCATAGGTTTCTGAAGAACCCAAAAGAAGCTACGAGTAGGCGTGGCCAAGCGTCACTCTTTTTGTTCACGTGTCATTGAACCAACCACAGTAGGGCAAAGTAGCGGAGCTACAGACGCCTGCTAGCATTTTGCTTAGACCTATGGGAGAAACGCTGAATCGTTCATTACCTGCGACTCTCTTGTGTTCTGACCACATGTGCTCGGCTCTACACTATATCAGTAAAGTGTTTAGTCTTTTAAAAACGCTGCTGTAATACATTGAGCCACTAAACATAGTTCTTATGACGTTTTTCCATGCGAGGAAATCGTGAATTACACCCAAACACTGCAGATATAGTCTTAGTAAATGCAGGACTATTGATGAACTCCTGCAGAACAGTGTATGATGACTGATCTAGAGCCTCCAGCTAATCAGTCAGATTCTGGAGTGCAGTACAGCTCTAAAGAACATTATAAATTAACTTAAAACAAATACAGTTATAGAGATGGTGTATAAGTATATAATTTCACTCGCGTGAATGGTTTGTGAGCACAATTAAGTGCACAGAGCATGCTATAATATCTGATAATTGTAGGAAATAATTTTAAAGGGGTAGGGGTACAAAAATAGAATTGGGATCACTCCAGTATGACTGGACTCAATATACCACACACACTTCTGTCTAAAAGTTGATAGATGCTCTTTTAAAAGTATATGTAAAAAAATCCAAGCATAGTCAAAGTTTTAGTTTGTATTAAAGAGCCTTCTGTGAGTGGTATTCTTCATTTAAGACTTGGAATTCGTTTTTAAATGGCAATTTAGTTGCACAGTCGATGTTTTACATCAAAGAGTCATCTTCAGTTTGTATTTAAATTTTGTAGTATTTGGAATTTGCTCTACACATTTTGATTTAGCTGTTTATAATTTTATTTTGTAAAAACACCCTAATATGTGTGCAGATATTTCAGAATCATGCTCAGTGAGCACTCTTGTATATCTGAAGCACAATGCTGGAGTCAGATATTCTGCTGTGAACGTGTGCATCATGTGCCGGAACGGCTGCCTTTGTTTTGGTCATTAACTCCGCCCACTGCCAGTTTAGCCAATTATATTTCAGCAGCCCGGGATGCCAAATGGTGGAAAACAGCGTAGTTCATTCATTCAGTCATGACGACTCACAAAGCATGCATCTGTGACTGACACGCAACCTCTGGTGGACAGTGGCGGACTCTGAAATGAGATGCAGATTCAGAGTTCCACATGAGTTTTTTAATTAGAAAATAATTTAAGTATTAGGAGTGTAAACATTAGGTGAGCAGGTTACATTGTAACCCCGTGTCCTAACAACACGCTACGTGACGATATATACGCAGTGATGAGCAATTGGGCTGTTTGCAGCAGACGAAACAGGACAGAAATGTAAACACAGCCATTTAGAAGCACAGAATAGAGCACTCACATGATTAAATGTAGATGCTGAATCACTGATATGTGTTGGTTTGCTCTGAGTCTCAGTTCTGAAGTTCAGTTTCAGACAGTTTATTGTATTCTCCAGATCTGAGCTGAACTATCTGCTGCTGCTTTCAGTAGTATGGCAATAAATGTCATTCAGACTTGCATTATTAGCATTTAACACTGAATTAAGCACATGAGCTGTAGCTGAGCCGATCATTGTCAGGTTTCTGTTGTTCAGCTGTAAGAAATCGAAGCTGTTTCTATCAACTGTTGCATACAGACAAACTTACATTCTGCACTTTTAATTGTTCAACTCATTTTGTTAAAAAAAAAGAGGCAAAATCATATTTTGAGATTAGTATTGTGAATCACATTGTGATTTTGGTGACTTGTTACGTCCTATATATAATTATTCATTGTATTTTAAATCAATATTTTGCATGTTCATTAACGGAATATATTAAATTATTGAATTTATAGTATTGAGTAATAAATGACTTCTTAAAAATAGTAATAAAATCTTTTTTTAACAGTGTATTTCGCGATTAATTATTTTTTGAAGTCGCCTCCCGTTCAGGTTCCCAGTCTGGTGAGTCAGATTTGTATTTATTTCCTCGCATGTATGACACCTCTATAAATGTGGGTCAGATGATGATGGTGATGACCCAGTTTCTGATGACCCAGAGCTCCAGATACTCTCCATCCGTTTGATGAGAGCGATATCGTTTTCCTCTCCATCTGGTAGGACAGTCTGTCCTCTGTCGCTCTGCCAGAGCTGAGAGAAACACACACGTTCAGCGCTTTAGCAACAATCTGCTGAAGCCCGGCGTGTGATTTGTTGGGTGTGAGTGTGTGGTCTGATGACTCTGGACGCATCACTCTTGTTTATGTCATTAGACTGGGCTTATGACGGGATCAGATTCTCATGTTGTGATTAATTACTGAAGCTTTTATTACGGTGTTATCCCCAAGCTGCAGAGATCAAATTAGCAGGTCTACACTGCAAAAAGGCCTGTTTTTATTTGGAGTGTTAGACTTGTTTCTAGTTTAAATATCTAAGTTAGCAGAGAAGTACATAATACTGTCTTATTTTGAGCAATAATGAGTCAAAATGTAGAGTTTTTCATTAAAACAAGCAAAATAACTCCCATCACTTGACTGTGTGAGACTATTTGAAGATCTAAACATGACCTCTCTGGACAGAAATTTACACATGGAGCAGTCGCTCACTTTTTTACATGTCTAATAATCTTGTTTAATCCCGCCCCTTTTCGCAGTGCCGCACGAATTTTCACACAAACTCTGGTGTGAGCGCAGCTTTATCAGCACTAAACACATTGTTTTCTGCTGTTTGTGTGTTAGAGCGCAGGTGTGTGTGGAGCAGAAAGCGCTGGACACTCTAGCGCACCTGTGTGACGGAGACGCTCGAGCCGCTCTCAACGGCCTCCAGCTGGCGGTGCAGGCGTGTGTGTTGCAGAGCAGCTCCAACCACAACAGAAGCAGCACAGTAGTGCGCGAGCAGCACATTAAAGAGGCTCTGCAGAGGTCACACATTCTCTACGACAAAGCAGGTACAGCGGCGCACACCTCACAGCACATTACACACTCAATCTGCAATGGTCGTCAATAATTATCGCACATTACAAAATAAAATCCGACCGCACGCTGTGTAAATCCTATTGATGCTGACTCCCGAACTGTACATGTCAATTCTCATGTTCTCTGTGTGTGTGCAGGTGAGGAGCACTACAACTGTATCTCAGCTCTGCACAAGTCAATGAGAGGGTCTGATGCAAACGCTGCCCTCTACTGGCTGGCCCGAATGCTGGAGGGCGGCGAAGATCCGCTGTACGTCGCTCGCAGGCTAGTGCGATTCGCTAGTGAGGATATCGGTGAGTAGTTGATCTGCGTTAGCTTTACTAACATACAGTAATGCATACACGTGATTTGTGGAGTGTTTTTAAAGCTAGTTTTTAACAGCAGATGGCGCTCTAGACAAGCTGCAGATGGCGCTCTTGGCTAGTTTTGAACAGCAGATGTCGCTCTAGGCTAGTTTTTAACAGCAGATGGCGCTCTCAGCTAGTTTTTAACAGCAGATGGCGCTCTAGACTAGCTGCAGATGGCGCTCTAGGCTAGTTTTTAACAGCAGATGGCGCTCTAGACTAGCTGCAGATGGCGCTCTAGGCTAGTTTTTAACAGCAGATGGCGCTCTAGACTAGCTGCAGATGGCGCTCTAGGCTATTTTTAACAGCAGATGGCGCTCTAAGCTAGTTTATACTACAAGATGGCGCTCTAGGCTAGTTTTGAAGAGCAGATGGCGCTCTAGACTAGCTGCAGATGGAGTTCTAGGCTAGTTTTTACCAGCAGATGGCGCTCTCAGCTAGTTTTTAACAGCAGATGGCGCTCTAGGCTAGTTGTGATGAGCGGATGGCGCTCAAGGCTAGTTTTTAACAGCAGATGGTGCTCTAGGCTAGTTTTGAAGAGCAGATGGCGCTCTAGACTAGCTGCAGATGGAGTTCTAGGCTAGTTTTTAACAGCAGATGGCGCTCTAGGCTAGTTGTGATGAGCGGATGGCGCTCTAGGCTAGTTTTTAACAGCAGATGGTGCTCTAGGCTAGTTTTTAACAGCAGATGGTGCTCTAGGCTAGTTTTTAACAGCAGATGGTGCTCTAGGCTAGTTTTTAACAGCAGATGGTGCTCTAGGCTAGTTTTTAACAGCAGATGGCGCTTTAGGCAAATTTTTAACAGTAGATGGTGCTCTAGGCTAGTTTTTAACAGTAGATGGCGCTCTAGGCTAGTTTTTAACAGCAGATGGCGCTCTAGGCTAGTTGTGAACAGCTGATGGCGCTCTAGGATAGTTTTTAACAGTAGATGGTGCTCTTGACTAGCAGAAGATGACGCTCTAGGCTAGTTGTGAACAGCGGATGGCGCTCTAGGCTAGTTTTTAACAGTAGATGGTGCTCTAGGCTAGTTTTTAACAGTAGATGGTGCTCTAGGCTAGTTTTGAACAGCAGATGGCGCTCTAGGCTAGTTTTTAACAGTAGATGGTGCTCTAGGCTAGTTTTTAACAGTAGATGGTGCTCTAGGCTAGTTTTTAACAGTAGATGGTGCTCTAGGCTAGTTTTGAACAGCAGATGGCGCTCTAGGCTAGTTTTTAACAGTAGATGGTGCTCTAGGCTAGTTTTTAACAGTAGATGGTGCTCTAGGCTAGTTTTTAACAGTAGATGGTGCTCTAGGCTAGTTTTGAACAGCAGATGGCGCTCTAGGCTAGTTTTTAACAGTAGATGGTGCTCTAGGCTAGTTTTTAACAGTAGATGGTGCTCTAGGCTAGTTTTGAACAGCAGATGGCGCTCTAGGCTAGTTTTAAACAGTAGATGGTGCTCTTGACTAGCAGAAGATGACGCTCTAGGCTAGTTTTGAACAGCAGATGGCGTTCTAGGCTAGGTTTTAACAGTAGATTGTGCTCTAGGCTAGCTGCGGATTGAGCTCTAGGCTAGTGTTTAACAGCAGATGGCGCTCTAGGCTGTTTGTGTGTAAGGAATCGTATCCAGCAGTGTACAGCTGTTTATAAAGCACACAGCGCCATCTGCTGGCAAACACTCACCTCAGAGTTCATTCAAGTGAGAATTGTGATCCATCTTCTCATAATTTATCTCTGGATTATTTCTCAATGTTCCCACAGTCCTATACAGTAGTATCACAGAAAGGGTTAATGGTTAAAACTGTTGATTTATATTAACAACGATTTGATGAAATGTTACTGTATTGTGTATGAATATTACTGTATTGTGTGTGTGTGTGTGTTGTGCAGGACTGGCGGACCCTGTGGCTCTCAGTCAGGCTGTAGCAGCGTTTCAGGCCTGTCACCTCATCGGTATGCCTGAATGTGAGGTAAATCCAGCACTACTATTGTGTTTCTGCTTTCTCCAGTTTGAATACATATTATTTATACAGTTGTTATTATCGAAGCTAAAACCATATATTGTGCAGCCCTAGTGTGATCTGTATGTCATCTTGAACTGTTGTAGGTTATTCTAGCCCAGTGTGCGGTTTATTTGGCCCGAGCTCCGAAATCTGTAGAGGTTTACAAGGCTTATAATAACGTTAAGATGTGTCTGAGAAACCACAAAGGCCCTCTGCCGTCCGTTCCTCTCCATCTGCGCAACGCTCCCACCAAACTCATGAAGAATCTGGGATACGCTAAAGGGTATAAATACAACCCAAACTACAGCGGGCCGGTGAAGCAGGAATATCTTCCAGAGGAGCTTCGAGGAGTCGACTTCTTTACCTGGACGCCCTCAGACAGCTAAACATGCTGCTCTTATTCAGAGCTTATCTTGTTTCTTGTCATAATATCTAAAAACACTTAAATCAAGAAGCCTTTTCTAGACAAGTGTGAAATATAGTGCTGTTTTCAGAATAAAGTGAGTCAAGTGAGAAAACATGCTAATAATAATCCGATTTCAAACTAAAAACAAGATTATTTTGCTTGTTTTAATGTAAAACTCTCTTCATTTTGACTCATTATTTCTGAAAACAGCACAATATTTTCTGCTGGTCTAGAAAATGCTGACTGATTTAATGAGCTTTGAGATATTTGAGACATAAACTCTGTCAGAAGAGCACAACTGCAGTGTGTGGCTATGAGAAATGGACTCTTCTAATTGGCTTCTGCCCTAATCACTGTTGCTGTATCTGATTATCATTACTGTATTTCACACCCATCGTCCAAATCACAACTGAAGGATCCTGCATTTGTTAATACTGCTATGAACCATTTTATATTATAGTTATTAATGTAAATAAAATGGTAAATATAAAATCCATCATGACTGCAGACTGATTGTCATTTTTATTTCAGGTAAGAGTGCAGTGAATGCAGGTTTGTTTGAATGTGTTTTGTGCATAAACACTTGCATACAGAGTTACTGACCTCAGAAAAACACTATTAGGACAAATATATTCCACTAACAAGCGAAAATTGGTTGTTATTAAGCTAATTCATTCTTCCGGTTTGAAAAAAAAATGTTGAAGCTGCGTCTCGGCGATTAGATCCTTGTGTTAATTCCAGCGTGGAGACTGGATGTCTGTACCGGCGAGTACAACGTGAGTTTTCAGCATTATTTCAAGAGACTTGGTTTGTACCAATCAGTCTGTTCTATTGTGAAATAAATAAGGTGCAACTTCATTCAGGGTATATGCAGGAATCCTAAAGATAATTTCAGTACCTTTTTAAACCTATAACCTGCACCTCATTTTTGAGCATTTCCCAGAAAACGACTTTCCCAAATATAAATGTCTGTAGCTCTTGAACCCTGTGGTCTATGTTCACCAGTCTGGTTTTGTTTGAAACTAGACATTGGCTAGTTTGGCATCCCAGGGTAACAATAACTCAAAGTAGTAAATAAACAGAGTAAAACATGGTAAAATGTAGGTGAAAGTGAATTGCGATTAGTGTCAATGAAATTTATTAGAGGAAAAATTAATGTGACTATCATGATAATGGCATGGAAACACCAGAAATATAGAGCTGAATGTCTGACTATGTTTTGATTCAAATTTCATGATGATACTCCCAAAAATGTAGCTTCTGTAAGCTTTTATTTTTAAAAAAGTACAGGCGTCCTTTCTTAAAAAGCCACTTGGAAACTCCAAATGGACACCTGGTGACCAAATAACCAAATGAGTCAACATTACCTAATGCATTAATGCATATCTATTCAAAACTGTTCTGCCTACAAAACCACACAAGATAAAAGTGTTTCAGATGAATATTTGTGGCACTTTCTCATTTGGTGGCCATTTGGAGTCTCCAATTAACATTTTATATAAAAAAAACGCCTGGGGCCTCATGTACTAAGACTTGCGTGGAAATCATACTAAAACATTGCGTATGCAGAAAAAAATTCAGATTTTCTTTTGTGCATCTGAATGAACGTGAAACTGAGCGCAACATGCACGAGCACAAAAACCCTCCCTGCCTCCTCCCCCGTATGAATATGCTAATGACTCTACTTTAGCAAAACCCAACGAAAAAGCAACGGCGAAAGCAAGCAAGAAGAGAAACTTTGAACAGAATGTGAATTGGAGGTGCTGCTTTCGGAGGTAGTTCATTTTTGCCATATTGCCCAGCTCTACCCTGAAACCACGGAGACAAGTTCCTTTAAATAATGAACATTTACTCAAAGGAGAAGAACCCCCAAAATGTCTATTTTGCAACAGAAACCAAACTGTTAAACACATTCTTGTGGAATGCCCCATTTTTAATGTTATCAGATTTATCTGGAGACTTTAAACAAAATATTATTTAAAATGTGAATCCGTCTAAAATTGTACAATTTTTATCAAAAGGAAACCCTAAACTGTATTAATTTTTTCTTATATATAATTATTATTTATGTATTTTACCTTGTGTAATATTTATTGCTGTTAATGACTTTTAATTGTTAGAATATTTTTATAATTATAGAAAATTGGTATTTATAAAATGTGGTAAACTCAATCTGTTTTTTTTTTTCCATGACATAGCCATAAAAGCTGAAATGGTGCTAAAATTAAAACTCTCTCTCTTTTAGAAAAATAAATAAAGCCCCACCTATTAAGCTAAAAAGAATGTACTAATCAGGGCTGAGCTCATTAATATTCATGAAACCATCCATATATAGTCAATAAGGACCTACTGACAGCATTGGGTAATTTATAGAGTAATAAATGAGCATATAAAACCGTTTCTGGAGGGTTTTTTATACTTAAGCGATATACCTACTATTTAGATATCAGAGAACAACTTAACTTATTGAACCAAAGCAGTATACGGCACCTTTAAACAAAGGCAAGATATTTTTTAATTGCAACAATTTTTTAAATTACTAATATACAGTTATTTTCGAAGAAGAAATCGTGTATAATGCATACTGTGAAGTAAAATGTGCAGTTCATCATGGACCACAGTGGTACTTTAGTTTTAGTTGTGATACCATTGGGCTAGCTTCCACAGAGGAACGGACACTGACCCAGCAGCTCCTCCGTTTGCTCTTTGACCCTGCAGGTCTCCGGAAAGAGTAAGAACTCCTCAATCACTTCTTTAATCACAAGCTCCATGTTTATCTGCTTCACCTGCAGTTCACAAACAGGATTATTTAAGTGGCGCGTATATCGCCGTCTTCCTCATGCGTGTACGACCCTCACACTGAAAACATTCATTCATTTTAGCGCAATTTACGACATCAACAGCAAAACAAAGTCAGAATTGACGCTATAAATGCGTTACTTTCTCATCGTTACCAAGGCAGAATCAGATATCAACATTATACTGCTAGAATACACTGACGAAACAACTTTAGACTTTGTTTTACACACCTCAAACTCCGAATGGAGCCCCAAAACCCAAACACATTCCTCTGTGGAATAACTGCACGCAGCATTGGCGCTCACATTGTGACGTAATGACGCGCAGCTGATAAAGGCAAAATAAAAGCCCCGTTAGCGTTGGAGTAAAACGATCCCAAAACATACTAGAGAGTGTAATTTATATAAATGTTTACGTTTAAACTAAATTTTAAAGCTATAGTTATTAATAGTCTGTGAATATTCCAGATCAAAATCATCCAAATAGTTGAATGAGAACTGACTTCATGGGTATATAAAGGCTATATTTTCTTAACATTAAGCGTGAATTTATTCGATTTTATCATTAAAATAAGACCCTGTAGGGCTGTAAGGAATAAAATGAAATGAGTATCAACCAAATTCACTGCAGAGAAACAACAAAGCTAAGATCTGATGTAAAATGAATGTGTTTACATTGCAAAATCACAGCTTAATGTTTTGAGATCGTTCATCCTCAATTTGATTCCATATACACTTGTTGGTAGACAAATGACCTGTTTATTTATGCAAGATATACATGAAGGCAGAACACTGAAGGTTACACGCATTAAATATGTAAACAAGGTACAGAAAGCCACTGGAAGTCAAGATAACTTCATTATCATTCAGCAATTATACAGGTTTAGAAGAGATTAGTATTTTTTTCTGAAAAACTAAGACATGCAGTGCAAAAAATGTTTACAAAATGCAGCTAAAGTCACCTTACCTTCAGAATATAGTGAAATGCAGGCTCTAAATGGGGATTTTTGCAGCAATTTAGTAGAAAAACATTAACAAACACCAATAAGCACCTGTTAAAGCAGCTTTTCTTACACTCTCTTTTTTTGGCACTAATAACTCCATAAAGTAACCAAAACTATTATATAAAAATGTTTATATTAAAAGTTTGTAAGTGAATAATAGTTGATTTGATTATTACACAATCTTTAAACTAATAAAAAAAATTAAGAACTTCTTAATAAAAAGCTCTACTAAATAAAAATGTGCATGTCAGCTACAAAATCACCTTTTGATCCTTTACGTTTTTGGACCTTACGTTTTGGAACGTTTGTAAAGCATACAGCGCCATCTGCTGGCAAAAACTATTCAAAAGCGAATCGCGATGCATTCAGAAAGTCTCAGAAATCAATCCGTATGCAGCTTCAGGTGCGCAGCTAAAATATTACCGCTCAACATTTGGTCTAGTTCTTATGTTTTGTGGCAAGTAGTCATGTAATAAGCGGGATAAAGTACATCCAGCCGGCTGTTTTCACAGAATAAACTTTACGGGTTTTATTTTGTTAACAACCTCCTGGATGTACTTTATATATCCTTTACATACTTCATTTAGGTTCAAGTGGTGTGTGTAAGGAATTGAAGGCAATCAGAATATGTATACCTTACAGCGTCGTCTGCTGGCAAAAACTATTAAAAAGAGAATCGCAATGCATTCAGAAAGTATCAGAAATCAATCAGCTTCAGGTGTTCAGCTAAAATATTACAGCGTTTTGTCTCATTTTCATGTATTGTGGCATGTAATAACCGGGATAAAGTACATCCAGCCGGTTGTTTTCACAGAATAAACCCTTCAGTCTCAGCTTCAAGTCAGGCTGTCGATAAGCCTTTCGTGCTTTATTCTGCGAAAACAACCTCCTGGATGAATTGTATACCGTTGAAGTCAGAATTATTAGCCCCCTGAATTATTAGACAGCTTGTTTATTTTTTTTCCCCAATTTCTGTTTAACATAGAGCAGATTTTTTCAACACATTTATAAACATAATAGTTTTAATAACTAATTTATAATAATGGATTTATTTTATCTTTGCCATGATGACAGTAAATAATATTTCACTAGATATTCTTCAAGACACTTCTATACAGCTTAAAGTGACATTTAAAGGCTTAACTAGGTTAACTAGGTAGGTTAAGTTAATTTGGCAAGTTATTGTATAACAGTGGTTTGTTTTGTAGATTATCGATAAAAAAATGTAGCTTAAAGAGGCTAATAATTTCGTCCCTAAAATGGTGTTTAAAAAATTAAAAACTACTTTTATTCTAGCCGAAATAAAACAAATAAGGCTTTCTCCAGAAGAAAAAACATTATCAGACATACTGTGAAAATTTCCTTGCTCTGTTAAACATCTTTTGGGAAATATTTAAAAAAAAAAAAAATGTGTAGGGGGCGAATAATTCTGACTTCAACTGTATATCCTTTATGTATACTTATTGTAGGTTCAAGTGGTGTGTGTAAGGAATTGAAGGCAATCAGAATATGTCTGTAAACCATACAGCACCATCTGTTGGTCAAAACGAACCTCAGAATTAATTCAAAAGCGAATCGTAATGCATTCAGAACATCTCTGAATCATTTCTCGAATGCGTCAATTTAATTTAAGCAGCGTTTCTGCAGTGTGTGTCCGCCGATGCCTCTGTAAGTAACTCTCTCTAATAAAAGCTTTTCCACACTCCGGACACACGTGAGATTTCTCACTCGTGTGCGTTTTCTGGTGCGATCTTAAACTCCCAACTAATTTAAAGCTCTCTCCACACACCGAACACACATGCGGTCTCTCATCCGTGTGCAGCTTCAGGTGCGCCTTCAAGCGCGCCGCCAAAATAAACCTCTTCCCGCACTTATCGCAACTAAACGGTCTTTCTCCGGAGTGAATGAGCAGATGCATCTTATAAGTGTTGCTCTCCGCAAACCTCTTCCCGCATTCAGGACACTCGTGCAGCTTCTCTCCGGAGTGATACTTCAAGTGGACGTTCAGGCTTTTTCGAACGGTGAAACTCTTCCCGCACTGGAGGCACGAGTACGGTTTGACTCCGCTGTGAGTTCTGGAGTGCGTCTTGAGGTGTCCTTTGCATTTAAAAGTCTTTGCACACAGCGGACAGGCGTAGGGTTTCTCTCCGCTGTGGATTCTCATGTGATCCTTAAGCTGGCCTTTATGCGTGAAGCTCTTCTCGCATTCAGGACACTTGGACGGTTTCTCCCCTGTATGGATTCTAATGTGAATCTTCAGATTTCCTTTATGAGTGAAGCTCTTCCCGCATTGAGGACAGATGAAGGGCTTCTCTCCGGTGTGACTGCGCATGTGCCGCTTTATATATCCTCTATCTGTGAATCTCTTCCCGCACTGATGGCACGTGTACGGCTTCTCTCCGGAGTGTGTTTTCACGTGATTCTGCAGGATGATCTTGCGAGCGAAGCGCTTTCCGCATTGGTGACAGGAGAACGGCTTCTCTCCGGTGTGGATTCTCATGTGACTCTTGAGGTTTTCCTCATGTGTGAAACTCTTCCCGCACTGAACGCAAGTGAGCGCGCTCTTCTCCGTGTGCATGTTGGCGTGAATTTTGAGATTTCCCTTATTAGTGAAACTCTTTCCGCAGTGGCTGCAGGTATACGGTTTCTCTCCGGTGTGAATTCGCGTGTGAATCTTCAGACTCCCCTTGCATGTGAACCCCTTCCCGCAGAGCTCACAGGTAAACGGTTTCCCTGCGTAGTGAATTTTAACGTGATGCTTGAGGTATTCCTCCTGCGCGAAGCTTTTTCCGCACTGTCCGCATATGAACGGTCCGTCCTCCGTGTGAAGTCTCATGTGGTACCGGAGGCTTGCTTTATGAGTGAAACTCTTCTCGCATTGAGGACACGTGTACGGTTTCTCTCCGGTGTGCGTTCGGACGTGACACGTGAGCGTTCCCTTACACGTGAAGCTCTTCCCACATTGGATGCACGCATACGGACGCTCTCCCGTGTGGATGCGCATGTGTACATCAACACTTCCTTTACAGGTGAAGCTTTTCCCACATACTGGGCAGGTGTTCGGCTTCTCTGAGGTGTGGATGATCGTGGGATCCTCCGAGTCTAACTTGTGAATAAAACTCTTCCCTGGAGGGTTTATTTTGATGCAGTCCTTGCCGTCGCTTGATTCTTGACGTTCCTCTTTAATTTCAGTATGGTCTAATATTGAAAACACATTGACAAAAATAAGATCAGGAAGAAATTAGTTTAAAAATAATTTAAAACTCTATGCAAATCAAGAGCGACAGAACCATATAGAGATCTAAAACATGGAAATATATGTTAAGTACATTTATGATAGTTCATATATGCAACGTATATTTCGAAATATTGCAGAAAACTGCAGCTTACACTTTATTTCAGCCATTGTAATTATGTATTATTTGCATATATGTTCAAATATACACTCGCTGGCCACTTTATTAGGTACACCTGTCTAACTGCGTTAGCACAAATTTCTAATCCATCCATCCAGTCATTTCAGACTGCTGAACATGACGATGAGTTCACTGTACTCAAATGGCCTCCACAGTCACCAGAGCTCAATCCAATAGAGCAGCTTTGGGATGTGTTGGAACGGGAGATTGGCATCATGGATGTGCAGCCGACAAATCTGCAGCAACTGTGTGATGCTATCATGACAAAATCGAGCAAAATCCCTGAGGAATATTTCCAGTAGCTTGTTGAATCTACAACACCAAGGATTAAGGCAGTTCTGAAGGCAAAAGGGTCCAACCTGGTACTAATAAGGTGTACCTAATAAAGTGGCCGGTGAATGTATTACATTATATGATAATATATGGACATATATGTACACATATATACAATAATAGCAAATATATTAGATTGATCAAATATATATTCTTACTGTAGTATCCAGCACAGTGCAGTGTATAGTGAACTGTACAGTCTACAGTGATACTTCAGTTTTTACTACAGTAAACTGTGTATTGTAGTTGCAGAAATCTACAGTATTGGGTTATTTGTTTATTTTACTACAGTTGTTGTGTTACCATAGCAACTGTAGTATCACCCCAACATAATAATTCAAGTACTGTACTATACTATGGTTCAAAAACACTATTATTTACTATAAATGACCACAGTATTTGTTCGTGGGTCATTTAACACACCTAATAAACGTATGCTTATAAGCACAGAAATGTTAGAGGCAGAATGTGAAAGGCAAAGAATTGGAAAATCTGTAATTTAGTGTAGTTTTAAGACTTTATTAATTAGCAATGAACATAAATGTGCACAGACCTCTGTCTTCTTCCTCCTCGGCGTCTTCATCCTTCACTCGGCGGAGTTCTGCATCAATCGAGTCCACAATCTCCATCTTAATAAACTCCATCTTTACCGTAGCGATCTAGAGCTCATTCTTGAGTAAAACCTCCCGTTAATATATACAGAAAGGATAAATAATCTTTATATTAATCGTAAGGACAGAAATCATTACTTTGTCGCTTCTGACTAACGTTAGATGGCTTTGCTTCGAAGAAAATGCCAACGGAAAATGCTGCGGGACTTTTATTTTGTTTTGTTAAAAGTCAGTTTCAAAACACTTTGATTAAAACGCCTGGGGTCCGTTCTTCGTACGTGGATTACTCAATTAGCTGGATTTGGATGTTGACGATTTGACATGATCCAGGATCGTTTCGTTCTTCAAAGCTGATCCGAGAGTTGTTGTCATAGCAACAGTTCTGCTAGGTCAAACCTGATCGGGAGCAGATTCAAATCATATAAACAGGATTAGATCGGCTCAGTTCAAGCAAAGATAATACAGAAAGTATGTTCCGAATTCTGATATTTTCTTACAGTAGTAGTTATATACACTTGGGAAAATGGTACATATTTTTTAAACTATATATATAAAGTTATAGTCATTAATAAAATAAATTAAGTTATACATATTAATTAAACATGCAATCTGCACCCTCGAAATGAAAGTACAACTGCCACCTGGTGGTGCAAAGAGAAAACTTATTGATATGAACTTTTTAGATCGCTTTAGTACAAATTGTGTATAATAAAAATGCACAATATGTGACTTTTTAAAGCAATAATACATTTATGCAGTCATAAACTTGAAAGTTTATATGCTGGTGATTTGATGCTTCACAAAAGTTGCAGACGCCTTTACCAATATGAAAATACTTTTGTAAACAACCAGTTATTCTTTACACCGATTAAAAAACTGTACTATAATAAAGAAAATATTTTCTAAATGTAGAACTAAATACATTGATTTGCATTGAAATACATGATGAATACACTTGACACATGAAAGTGGAAATTGCAGCTCACAACAAATGTGGAAGGTTATTGCGTGTCATATTTAACAAGCCGTTTACTGCTAATTTGATGTAATTTTGCTCACATGGATAATTGAATATTAATCAGATGATGTCATTACGCTGCTGTGCCGTCAGCCAATCGTTGCATTGCTGATCATGATTTCGAGGATCGATAGATCTGTCCTTCAGCGATCTCAGATCAGTTTATCCAGACATTCTAATCTGATTCGCAAACTCGTTTGAAGAACCAAATTAGCGAGAGATCAGTTATCAAGATTAAAAGATCCAGGATCTGCCAAATCATCTTAGATCATTTAAGCGAGGTACGAAGAACGGACCCCTGAAATACTGAAGGGCTCAAAATGTAAACATTTAATCAACAATATATTTAGTATTTCTGCAAGAAGAGATGTAGTAGCGATACGGCAAAACAGAAGTATTAGCATGGTGAGTCGGTGAACATCAGTATATTTGGGTATTTTAACTCAAACCCACGAAAGAAAATGTTTTGTTTTTATAAATATAATTTAATCATACTTTTTTGGCAAATTTTACATTCACAAATGTAAATTATCAAAGTGTAAACCTGCCTTAAGGATCGACTAATAAGTTTTATGCAGCGGATTCCCTTCCAGCTGCAACCCAGTACTGGGAAACACCTGTTTTACACATACATCATTCACACGCACACTCATACACTAGTGCCAGTGTAGTTGATCAGTTCCCCTATAGCGCATCTGTTTGGACTGTGGGGGAAACCGGAGCACCCGGAGGAAACCCACGCCAACACGGGGAGAACATGCAAACTCCACACAGAAACACCAACTGACCCAGCTGGGACTCGAACCAGTGCTCTTCTTGCCGTGAGGTGACAGGGCCACCGTTTTGCCTTAATATAATACAATTAATGGGTAATTTAATAAATAATATTACAAATTCTGTCCGCTGTATCCTTTCCAGCACCCACTGTCGGAACCACACGTTTGTGTCAGGAGAAAGTGGCGGTAAATAATATCAGACGGACCGCTTCCTGTTTTGACTCGGTCGCTCGGTGAAGTAGCTGTGTTGTGTTGTGATGTGAGTGTCCGGTAATAACGGGGATCCTGCATCTGTCGTGATGTCGACGAGCACGGGCTGCAGTACGGTGCTGATGTCGGTGCGGGTCTCCGTGCGGCCGCTGCCGGTGGGCTCCGACTCTCTGCGGCTGCAGCTCAGCATGAACCCGAACCGCGCGGGGCTCTTCACCCTCACACTGAGACACACCGACCGCGGGGGACGTAGCGTGGTAAACACACACACACACACACACACATTATACATTACACACTGTCACCCTCAAAAATACCTCACACACACACACACACACACACACACACACTATACATTACACGCTGTCACTCAACTCACATACACACACCTCACATACACACACATCGTACATTACACATTGTCACTCACTCACACACCATACACACTGTCACTGAAAACACTCACTTACAAACACAACCTCATACACATTGTCACACACACCATGCACACTGTCACTCATAAATACCTCATACACACACATACATACTCGCGCACACATCAAACATTACACATTTTCACTCACACACACATACCTTGCACACACACCATACACACACACACACACACACACAAATCATCCATTACACACTGTCACTCACTCAAAAATACCTCATACACACACACACACACACACACATACATTCTCCCACACGCATCGTACATTACACGTCACTCACACACACACACACACACACACCATACCCACTGTCACTCAGAACACTCACTTATAAACACAACACACACACACACACACTGTCTGTCACATACACACAATCACTCACTCACACACAAGTCTTTCACACAAACACACTTTCACGCGCACATATCATACATTACACACTGTCACTCACTCACACATACCTCATACATAGGTACACTGTCACTCAGAACATTCACTGACACACACACACACACATTACACAGTCACTCACGCAAACACAGTCGCAAACACACAATACTCTCTCTCACACTCTCACTCACACACTCAGGGCTGTTTATGCTAATGAGGGTCACTAGTGGGCGGGGCTTTCCCCCTCTGATGACATCATACACAAAGGGAGAATGTCAATCACAGAGATCCTGCAGACTGTTTTCATCAAGTCTGATTAGAACAAACACAATTCACTACTGTTAACCATTAGAGGCACCTGGAGATACACACACACACACACACATGCTGATGATCTGTGTTTGTGGCAGTCTCTGGCAGAGTTCGACCTGCGCTCGGTGCAGTATGAGCTGAAGTCTCCGCGCTGTCATGAGCTGCGTCTCCTCAAGCCGCCGCACGACTGTCTGAGCTTCAGCTTCCGCAGCGAGCAGGAGGCGCAGGAGTGGGCGACCGTCGTCATGTCCTCACTGCGGGAGTCACACAGAGGTGCAGCACACACACACACACACACACACACTGCATATAATGCTGCTCTCACTGTCTTGTTTCCAAATAAACCATAGTAAAGTGAGTCAGTAATTAAAGATTCACGCTGAATTGAACTTTAGTTTTCCATTTCAGTTGCCAGTATTTGTCAGGAAGGCCTGCAGTATGTGAAGAGTGGAGAGAAAAGCGCAGTCCTGTCTCTGTCAATGAAAGGTTTGTTTCTGTCGGCGCTGAAGACTTGAGTGTATTGTTATTTAAAGCCTGATTCTTCTGCACGATTAATTTGCTCCCACTGTTTTGTAGTCATTAACTTTACATCTTTAAATGCAAACATTTGTGCTGCTGTTACTTTCACATTGATGAATGTTGAGATGTTAAGCAGGGATCTTGTCGTGTGTGTGTAGAGGAGCTGTGTGTGGAGCTTTCCAGAGCGATAGAGGCTGGAGATGCTCAGGCCGCTGCGCGTTACGCCACAGATCTGGCCCAGCAGCAGATGACGCTCAGCATTCAACCAGCGCCGCGCGACACCGACGACAAAGACATCAGGTATATCATAGGGCCTGGCCACTGCATGCGTTGCTGTAGTTGTCGTGTTACTATAGCAACTGTTGAAACACCACAACAGATTAATCACTATAGTTGTTACCATAGCAACTGTAGAATCACCACAACAGATCGATCACTATAGTTGTTGTGTTACCATAGCAACTGTAGAATCACCACAACAGATTGATCACTATAGTTGTTGTGTTACCATAGCAACTGTAGAATCACCACAACAGATCGATCACTATAGTTGTTGTGTTACCATAGCAACTGTAGAATCACCACAACAGATTGATTACCATAGTTGTTGTTGCTATAGCAACTATAGAATCACAACAGATCGATTACTATAGTTGTTGTTACCATAGCAACTGTAGAATCTCTACAACAGATCAATTACTAGTTGTTGATATAGCAACTATACAATCACAATATATGAATTACTGTAGTTGTTGTTACCATAGCAACTAGAGGATTACCACAACAGATCAGTTACTATAGTTGTTGTGTTACCATAGCAACTAGAAAATCACCACAACAGTTTAATTACTATAGTCGTTGTTACCATAGTAACAGTAGAATCACCACAAAAGATTAACTATTATAGTTGTTGTTACCATAGCAACTACAGAATCGCCACAACAGTTTAATTACTATAGTCGTTGTGTTACTATAGCAACTACAGAATCACCACAACAAATCAATTACTATAGTTGTTGTGTTACCATAGCAACTGTCGAATCACCACAACCCATATTTTGTCAAACCAAACTTTTATTTTATATGTGATTAATCTTTGCCCAGCACTGAAAAATATAAATAAACTCATTTTTACCATTAAAGGCTGTCTATGTTCACACACTGCTGCCTCAACACACAACTGTGTTTAAACGCCTTATAAAAGTCATTTTGGCATGAGTTTTAATCCTGGATGTGGTTTTATTTCCAGCTTGGCTGTGATAGTGGAAGATGCGTCGTCTTCCTGCTGTGTGACGGTGAAAATCCACCCGCACGTGACCGTCGCCTCGCTAAAGCAGCAGGTAGGAGGATCAAAATAAAACCTCGACAGAATCAAGTCTCTGTGATTGGTTCATTGTTCAGGTTTTTTAGCTGACATACACACACTTGTTTTACACGCAGATTATTATTCTGTCAATGCCTGGACTCTTTAATGCTGTTTCGCACACAATTCGTTTCTCTCTAAGCACTTTTATTTGATGCAATAACATGAGTTTTTGTCTTGTTTTTAAACCAAATATCTATAAATTCCTAAATCAAGAAGCATTTTCCAGACTAGTACAAAATATTGTCTTGATTCCAGAAATAATGAGTCAAAATCAAGCAAGTTTTTCCTTAAAACAAGCGAAATAATCTGCTTCCAAACCAAAAACTGGTTTATTTGGCTTCCGCCATTGGCAGATTATTATAACTCACTTAATTAAGGCACATTATTTCAGAAAACAAAACTATAATACTAAGAATTCTGTTCTGTGGACAGTGGGAGATTTACAGTCTTGTTTTGTTGTCTTCAGATGTTTGTGGAGTACGGTTTTCACCCGCGGGTGCAGCGCTGGATCATCTCTCAGTGTTTGTGCTCTGACAGTCGCTCGGTGTCGTCCTATGGCGTCTGCAGGGATGGAGACACTGCGTTCCTCTACCTGTTATCCGCAGGTCACGCCAGCCTCAGCCAGCAGCAGGAGAACGGGCTCTCCGTGCCCACAGCGGCTCCAGCAAACGCTTCACTTTCAGCCCCGGCGGGCGGCGGCAGCAGCGGGCACGACTGGAGGGCGTACAGCACTCTACCACCACGCTTCAGCCACGCCAGCACAGGTCAGACGCAACACAAATCTGACATTAATATTTGATTTTTCTGCAGTATTTACCTTAGCTATTGGGATCTTTTTGGCTCAATTTGTGTGCTATTCTAAAACACGTAAAGCTGCGGTCACGCTTCACTTCTCACCCCAAAGACTTCCATTCATACCCATACGCAAGCTCGTGCGACAAGTTTCACATGTTACTGTTTGCAAAGTTCAAGCTTGGTGAACTCTGACCTATGAAATAACATCATGCAATTGTGTGAGACTAATAGAAGCTCTTGTTTAACCCTGGCCCTGTCCAGAACAGCGTACGATAATGTGACCGCAGCTTTAGAGTCTCCTAAAACAGGTTTAAATGCCTCTATGATCAGAAAACAGCATCATTTTATCATCATGTGCGTTTAATAATTGAATCAATTTGCTGTTATTTTGATTCGATTCATTTAAATCAACTCAGAGTTCAAGGTCTGTAAGCCCCTCCCCCTTCCCTAAGCCAACTCTCATCTGATTGGTCTTTCTGTGTGGGAAACCCAACAACCATTTCAGAATTTTTATTTCGTAGGAGGCGGGATTATGCAGATGAGTTACTTTGTGTTGGTGTTGAAAGATTTGATAGTATAACAATTCTTTAAAGGGCCAGTTCACCCAAAAACGAATCAATTTGCTTTTAATTAGATTAGATTTGTTTAAATCAATTCAGAACTTCATGCATGTAAGCCCCCTTCCCCTTTCATAAGCCAACTCTTTTCTGATTGGTCAGAAAGTCTGTTTTGATGGTGTTTCTGTGTGTGAAACCCAACACCCATTTCAGATTTTCTAAGTGATAGGAGGCGGGATTATGCAAATGAGTTAATTTGATTGTGTTGATGTTGAAAGATTTGATAGTAAAACAACTCCTTAAAGGGTCAGTTCATCCAAAAAATGAATAATTTTCCTTTTATTTTGATTCGATTTAATTTAGCTCAGTTCAAGGTCTGTAAGCCCCTCCCCCTTCCATTAGCCAACTCTCCTCTAATTGGTCGGAAAGTCTGTTTTGATTTGTCTTTCTGTGTGTGAAATCCAGCACCCCTTTTCAGAATTTTTATGTGGGAGGCGGGATTATGCAAATGAGTTACTTTGTGTAAATGTTGAAAGATTTGAAAGTAAAACAAAGGGCCAATTTACACTGAAATGAATCAATTTGTTATTATTTTGATTCAGTTCGTTTGAATCCATACAAAACTTTAGGCCTGTAAGCCCCTCCCCCTTCCATAAGCCAACTCTGCTCTGATTGGTCAGAAAGTCTGCTTAAATTGGTCTTTCTGTGTGTGAACACCCATTTCTGAATTATTATATGTGGTGGGAGGCGGGATTATGCAAATGAGCTACTTTAATTGTATTGATGTTGTTGAAACATTTGAATGTATAATAACTCCTTAAAGGGCCAGTTCTCCCAAAAAATGAATCAATTTGCTGTTATTTTGATTCAATTCGTTTGAATCAATTCAGAACTTCAGGTCTGTAACCTCCTCCCCCTTACATAAGCCACTGTCCTGTGATTGGTCAGAAAGTCTGTTTTAATTGGTCTTGCTATGTGTGAAACCCAACACCCATTTCAGATTTTTTTTTGTCAAAGGAGGCAGGATTATGCAAATGAGTTACTTTGTTTGTGTTGATGTTGAAAGATTTGAAAGAAAACAAAGGTACAGTTCACCCAAAAAATATTAATTTGCTGTTATTTTGATTTGATTAATTTAAATCAGCTCAGTTCAAGGTCTGTAAGCCCCTCCCCCTTACATAAGCCTACTGTCCTGTGATTGGTCAGAAAGTCTGTTTGTGAAATCAAACGCCCATGTCTGAATTTTGATATGTGGTGAGAGGCGGGATTATGCAAATAAGTTACTTTGTGTTGTTGTTGTTGTTGGAAGATTTGAAAGTAAAACAACTCCTTAAAGGGACAATTCACCCAAAAATAAAAATTGTCATAATTTAAGTACCCGTTACTTGTTTCAAACCTTCTATCAAACACAAAAGAAGATATTATGAAAAATGTCAGAAACCTGTAACCATTGACTTCCATAGTATTTGTTTATTTGTTTTTTACTGTGAATATCAGTGGTTACCGGTTTTCAGCTTTCTTCAAAATATCTTTTTGTGTTGTAAAAATAATAATAAAATACAAAATATTTCAACATTTTCTTTTGAGCGACAGCATCTTTATTAATCATGCACTTGTTTGATGAACAACTTTGCAGACTGTTTACATGGAAAGACATCTATGATACAGACCACCGCCAGTTATTTATCAAAGATCGTGTTGTTTTTCAGGCAGCGGCGGCTCAGAAAAGCCCAGCGTCACTGACATCATTAACCTGGAGATGCTGCAACTCGGAGGCTCCAAACTCAAGTCCAGTAACACACAGGTAATAATTACATCCCCTTTCTCCATTGCACAACACATGCAGATGCAGAGGGACTGTAAATAAGTGTCCTGTATCCACATAATCATGAACCATTAGTGCAGAAACACACACACACACGGTGCACTTGTACAGCTGTGAAAAATGTGTGTATATTATCATATGTTTGTGATATATATATACATACACAAACACACACTCACTGGCCACTTTATTAGGTACACCTGTCCAACTGCTCGTTAACATAAATTTCTAACCAATCACATGGCAGCAGCTCACTGCATTTAGGCATGTAGACAGGGTCAAGAGGATCTGCTGCAGTTCAGAGCGAGCATCAGAATGGGGACGAAAGGGAATTTAAGTGACTTTAAACGTGGCATGGTTGCTGCTGCCAGACGGGCTGCTCTGAGTATTTCAGAAACTGCTGATCTACTGGGATTTTCACGCACAACCATCTCTAGGCTTTACAGAGAATGCTCCGACAAAGAGGAAATATCCAGTGAGCCGCAGTTCTGTGTGCGCAAATGCCTTGTTGATGAGGCCAGAGGTCAGAGGAGAATGGCCAGACTGGTTCCAGCTGATAGAAAGGCAACAGTAACTCAAATAAGCACTCGTTACAACCGAGCTCTGCAGAAGATCATCTCTGAACACACAACACGTCCAACCTTGAGGCGGATGGGCTACAGCAGCAGAAGAGCACACCGGGTGCCGCTCCTGTCAGCTAAGAACAGGAAACTGAGGCTACAATTCACACAGACTCACCAAAACTGGACAATAGAAGATTGGAGAAACGTTGGAGAAAATTGGGCGAAACACTTTTTATAGTAACCTCATTTACACTGATTAAAATGTAATTTTCTTTTTCTTTTAAGTCATAAAAGTTTAAAAATCCTTGTATAACCCTCAGTAACACTCGTTGCACACAATTTGATGCACACATATTATTGTTAACTTAAACACCAACACTTGGGTAATGTTGTGAATCTATGTATTTTCCTTTGTGTGTGTGTGTGTGTGTGTGTGTGTGTGTAGTCAGGCTGGCCCTGCCCGTCCTGTACGTTCATAAATAAATCTACGAGACCCGGCTGTGAAATCTGCAGCACTGACCGGCCCAATCCTCCACATCACACTCATCTTCAACAGGTGAACAACATATAATCCTCAAAATATAACACTTTCAACTATCACACAGATATTGAAGGCCACTTTCTGCATATACAGTATGTGCACATGTGGTGCTACGTATCAGATCAGAAAGAAAAGAATTGGTCTCACTCATCATCACTAACACACACACATGATTTCTGTTTCAGGAGAAGTCAAGAAGATCCAACCAGTGAAAGTGCGGCGTAAACACACAGAGAAATAATCTGATGTTGGTCAGCTGGTGTGGAGATGAAGAAGCAGACTCTTCTTTTAATCCACAGGTGTTAAACTCAGTTCCTGGAGGGCCGCAGCTCTGCACAGTTCAGCTTTAACCCTAATGAAACACACCTGATCCAACTCAGTGCTTCAGGCTTGATTGAAACCTCCAGGTGAGTGTGTTGAAGCAGGGCTGGAACTAAACTGTGCGGAGCTGTGGGTGACACCCCTGTTTAAAACGCTGGTGCTCGTAGTTTTAATAAGAGTTGACTTGAAAGTGGGAAGTTCTCAGATTGATTGGTTTCCCTTAAAGTGCCCCGTTATTAACGCTCTGGCTAAATGTAAACATCTGCATCGACTCTGATTTTCAGTGTATTGTGATGCTGAGGTTGGTGTTTACCAGCAGATGGCGCTGTTTGACTTACAAACAGCCATACTCTACTGCATACAGTGCACCACTCCGACCCAAAATAATCATTGGTAAAGCTGTTGTTATATACCCAACCAAAAATATCAGAATAGACGGATATTCCTCTGGCGAATATAATCAACGAATCGCAGTTTGTCGATTTACTGCCACGACGCTTCTGTTTTTGGATGTTTGCCTGTGATGTAGCATGAAATGTGGTCAGTGCATGTAAAATTCAGCTCAAGTGGACAATAAAACATAAAACAATGGACATAAGCATAACACGTGATGTAAGCTGTCGACTAATCAGGGTAGAGTCATCATCTAACCAATGAGAGCAGAGTACAACCATTGTTTGACCAATCAGAGCAGAGTCATAATCTAAGCAGAGCGTAATAAGGTAATCTGGCCAATCAGAGCAGAGGAGGTTCATTGTATGACCAGTCAGAGCAGAGTATGGTCATCTGACTAATCAGAAAACAGTTGGGCGATTTGACCAATCATAACAGAGTTATAATTTGACTAATTAGAAGATAATGAAGCCATCTGTCCAATCAGAACAAAGTAAAGCTATCATCTGATCAATTTCAGTAAAGTTGGGTAATTTGACCGATCATAACATAGTAGAGCCATCATCTGACCAATCAGAACCAAGTAAACATATAATCTGATCAATCAAAGCAGCATCAGGTCATCTGACCAATCAAAACATAGTAGAGTCATAACCGAGTAGAACCATCGTCTGGCCAATCAAAGCAAAGTAGGATATTTGGACAAATCATAACACAGTAGTACCATTGTCTGACCAATCAGAGCAGAGTAGGGGCATCTGACCAATTAGAACCAAGTAGAGCAATAATCTGACTAATCAGAGCTTAATAAGGTCATCTGGCCAATCAGAACAGAGTAAAGCCATCATCTGAACAATCAGAGCAAAGTAGGGTATCTAATAATAACACAGTAGGGCCATTGTCTGACCAATCAGAGCAGAGTAGAACTATCATCTGAACAATCAGAGTAAATTTGGGTAATTTGACCAATCATAACATAGTAGAGCCATCACCTGACCAAGTATAGCTGACCAATCAGAGCAAAGCAGGGAATTTTGACCGATCATAATGTAGTAGGGCCATCGTCTGATCATAATAAGGTCATCTGACCAACCATATAAAAGTAGAGCAGTCAGAGCAGAATGGGGTCATTTGACCAATCATAACATAGTAGGGCCATCATCTGACCAATCAGAGCAAAATCATAATCTTGCTAATTATAAAATAATAGGGCCATCTGGCCAATCAGAATGGAGTAGAGCCATCATCTGACTAATCGGTGTAAAGAAGGCTAATTTGAACAATCATAACTCATTATTCATCTTTTGACCAGTCAGAACCAAGTAGAGTCATAATCAGACCAATCAGAGCAGAATAAGATCATATGACCAATCAGAACATAGTAGCATCACAACAGTCAGAGCAGAGACATCATCTGACCAATCAGAGCAAAATAGGGTCATTTGACCAATCATAACACAGCAGGGCCATCATCTGACCAATCAGAACAGAGTAGAGCTGATGCTGTGCTGGATATTATGACAAAATAAAAGTCTTATTTGACTTTGTATGGATGTACATGTAAACTAAAGCTAGAATATTTAAAATGGCATATTATGGGCACTTTAATGGAAGAATGTAACTGTTGAACAGTAGTGGACAGGCTCCAGAAACTGTTGCCTATTGAGGGCGTGAGACTTGTCACACGCTAGTTCTGGACTGAAACAGCAGTGACCGCTGTGCTTGTAGATATTCAATATTATTCTGAAGAGATGATTCATTTCTGCCTGTTGTTCATTTCTGCTCCTGCAAACGTCTTCAATCTTCTTCATTCACTACACAGTGTGCGAGTCGCTGTCGACGTCTGTTCCTCGTGTCTCCTGCAACAGACAGACATGAGTTAATGTTCAGCGAGCTCTGATTTAGGGGCTTATGTTTTAAATGTGACTGTGTGTAATTATGTGCATTGAGGAAAACACAAGCCTTTTATTGCTTAATTAATGGACCGAGAATTCTCCTTAACAAAACAAACTACATGCAGACACGGTTATTAAGTGCTGTTATTGTATTTTTTTAATATAGCATAATATTTAATGAATAATCTATTGTGATTGCACTGAGTATGTGTGCATGTGTGTGTGTGTGTGTGTGTGTGTGTGTGTGTGTGTTGTAAATGATTGTGTTCCTGTTGAAAACCTGCCTGTATTTCACCATTGCTTGGCTGTGAATAAACAACGAACAGAGAAACCACATCTAGACTAAGCTTCTTTATTATTATATTGAAGATACAGTGGTAACACAACTACTATAGTAATTAATCTGTTGTGGTGATTCTACAGTTGCTATGGTAACACAACTACTATAGTAATTAATCTGTTGTGGTGATTCTACAGTTGCTATGGTAACACAACTACTATAGTAATTAATCTGTTGTGGTGATTCGACAGTTGCTATGGTAACACAACTACTATAGTAATTAATCTGTTGTGGTGATTCTACAGTTGCTATGGTAACACAACTACTATAGTAATTAATCTGTTGTGGTGATTCGACAGTTGCTATGGTAACACAACTACTATAGTAATTAATCTGTTGTGGTGATTCGACAGTTGCTATGGTAACACAACTACTATAGTAATTAATCTGTTGTGGTGATTCGACAGTTGCTATGGTAACACAACTACTATAGTAATTAATCTGTTGTGGTGATTCGACAGTTGCTATGGTCACTCAACTACTATAGTAATTAATCTGTTGTGGTGATTCTACAGTTGCTATGGTAACACAACTACTATAGTAATTAATCTGTTGTGGTGATTCGACTGTTGCTATGGTAACACAATTACTATAGTAATTAATCTGTTGTGGTGATTCGACAGTTGCTATGGTAACACAACTACTATAGTAATTAATCTGTTGTGGTGATTCGACAGTTGCTATGGTAACACAACTACTATAGTAATTAATCTGTTGTGGTGATTCGACAGTTGCTATGGTAACACAACTACTATAGTAATTAATCTGTTGTGGTGATTTGACAGTTGCTATGGTAACACAACTACTATAGTAATTAATCTGTTGTGGTGATTCGACAGTTGCTATGGTAACACAACTACTATAGTAATTAATCTGTTGTGGTGATTCTACAGTTGCTATGGTAACACAACTACTATAGTAATTAATCTGTTGTGGTGATTCTACAGTTGCTATGGTAACACAACTACTATAGTAATTAATCTGTTGTGGTGATTCGACAGTTGCTATGGTAACACAACTACTATAGTAATTAATCTGTTGTGGTGATTTTGCAGTTGCTATGGTAACAACAACTATAGTTATTGATCTGTTGTGGTGATTCTACTGTAGCTATGGTAACAACTATATTAACTAATCTGTTTTGGTGGTTCTACAGTTGCTATGGTAACACAACTGTAGTAACTGATCTCATGTGGTGATTCTACGGTTGCCTTGGTAACAACTGTAGTAACTGATCTGTTGTGGTGATTTCTACAGTTGCTATGGTAACACAACGATAGTAACATAAATGACCTAATGTGAAGTTTTCTACTACTGTATGGTCTATTGTACTACAGCACACCACAGTTTACTGCAGTAAAAACTAAATCAATATATTAGTGTATTTTCGGCGTTTCCAGCATCATAAGCGAAACATTAATCAAGCGTTAATCCTGTACAGATCAAATGTCCTCTACAGTAGACTAAAGTTCTGTGGTGTATTTCCTGTGTTCAGCAGTAACCTCAGGTCCGTGGCGGGGCTATGGCAGGTCAGTCTGTAGATGATTTTCCTCTGTCTGGTAAACGTCTTCAGTTTATCTGAAATGTCTGTGTTAATGTCTCCGCCGCCGCTCAGACCTTTGCTCATGTATATA